GCAATACCAAACAGCAGCTTTGCAATTAGCTCAAATCTATCAAGCTCACGACGACAAATACAAATGTCAAGATGTTATTGACAAATTTCTCGCATTTGCCAAAAATGAAGGATCCCGCTGGCAGCACAGGAAGTCCTTGGAAGTCATTTTACCTGACAGCCCAATCTATCAATATCTGGAAGGTCGCGTTCATCATCCCTCGCATACCTATCAAATCATAGCTCAGATTACCGAATTCGAAGAGAAAGAGCGTATCAACAAGGAAATAGGAGAGCGGCGAACAAGATTAGGTGCCAAAATTAGTCAAGTCACAGTCGAAGTAAAACGGGAAGTCTTGAAAGATAGTGATTTGGAAGAAATTTACAATAAAATCATAGACTGGACCACTGATGATGAGATTCGCCGTCAATACGAAGAGAAACTCATTAAAAGATGCCTAGACACTCTGGTTATTCTCCCACCCGGAGACTCAAAGACAGAAAAACGATCAAAACTATTCAAGCTGGCTACAGATATGGTTTTAATTAAGCATCCGTACAAGCTGGCTTGGGATATTGCTATTGAGTGGCAAGATCCCGACCATGTTCAAGGCTTGGATGTCAACAATTTGCGGGAATACATAGATTTCTTTCCTACGAGTGGTCTTGCTCAGGTTCTTCGAGGATTCATGTCCAGTGAGATATCGCCATTCCCGCCACCGCCACGAACTCCGGCTCCCACGAAGAACGAGAAAGGTGATGAAAGTAGTTCGGATGAAGACGACGGAGGAGGAGTGACGTTGGATGACTTTGCGATGCTTGCAGAAGATCGCCTGGCAATGATGATGGAAGGCATGACGGATTCTCCCACATCAATACTGGCACATCGTCTCATGGGAGAGTATTATCAATTTTTAGATGAGCACGAAAGCGTGGTTGAACTCATGCGGAACGCAAATCGGCTTGCATTAGAAGAGTCCAACAAAATTGGCAGAAAGTTCAAAAATGCGTCCCAATCTTTCAAAGCCTTGTTGGGTACTGCTCTCGTATTTTATCAATCGCCGAAGAATCATCCGGAAGCAAAAGCTTTATTCGATGGTCTGTTGAAAGAAAATCCAACCTCAACTCCTGCTCTCATAGGAATTGGTTTGATTTATGAGGAAGAAGACGACTTTGTTGCCGCTATCGACTTCCTTGAACGTGCTTTACAACGAGATCCTGCGAATATCCGAGTGAAGGCTGAAGCCGCATGGGTCAAGGCTATCAATGGCGATTATATTCGTGGACGTGAGGAGTTAGAAGAATGCTTACCTCAAATCGAAGCTAAAGATATGAAGTCTCGAGAATTGCTGGCCCAGACACAATATCGTGTCGGTGTTTGCTTATGGAACATAGATACTTCGAAATCCGCTCGCAAAGACAGAAAGGGGGCATATTCATATTTCTTAGCATCACTGAAAAGTAACCTCAATTTTGCCCCGGCATATACCAGTCTAGGTATATTTTACGCAGATTATTCGAATGACAAAAAGAGGTCTCGAAAGTGTTTTCAGAAAGCCTTTGAGCTTTCATCCTCGGAAGTGGAAGCTGCTGAGCGCTTGGCTAGGATATTCGCAGGCCAGGGCGAGTGGGAGCTGGTCGAATCAGTTGCTCAACGAGTTGTCAATTCAGGAAAGGTCAGACCAGCACCTGGTTCAAAGAAAAAGGGCATCAGTTGGCCATTTGCTGCTCTTGGAACTGCCGAGTTGAATAAACAAGACTACTCCAAGAGCATTGTTTCTTTCCAATCCGCATTGCGCATTGCACCTTCTGATTATCATTCATGGGTCGGCCTAGGCGAAAGTTATCACAATTCCGGACGTTACATTGCTGCCACAAAAGCTTTTCACCATGCGGAACAATTCGAGAGTGAAATTGAACAAAGACAGGATGGTGAGACTTGGTTTGCAAAGCATATGCTCGCCAATGTAAAGCGTGAGCTAGGAAATTTTGATGATGCCATTGAGGGCTATAAATCAGTACTTCAAAATCGTCCCGCGGAATTTGGCGTTTCTATTGCTCTGATTCAGACTTTAGTTGATAGTGCCTGGGATAGTATTGAGAAAGGGCTTTTTGGACAAGCAGCTCAACGTGCGACCGAGGCTATAGAAGTTGCTAGTCAAGTTTTCGAGAGCAGAGCTGATGCTTTCAACCTCTGGCGAGCTGTAGGCGATGCTTGTGCTGTTTACTCTTGGGTTTGGAGCCGCATCAACGAGTTCCCAGATGCGAATATCAAAAAATTGCTTGAAGAATGGGCAACTGCTTATGATGTTTTCGCTGAGGTCGATGGAGTATCTGTTGATGTCGTTTTAGCAAAGGGACTATTTCCTGCCGACGAAGAGGATGGAGTGCGCCGAACTCGATGTCTTCATGCAGCGATTTTAGCTCACAAGCGAGCTATACATGCCTCATCTCACGATACACACGCCCAGGCAGTTGCTTATTACAACCTCGGTTGGGTTGAGCATCGTGCTCATGTCTGCTTGGCACCCAGTTTGAGAAAGAAATCTACCAGATATCAGAAAGCCGCAGTGCGATGTTTCAAAAGAGCCATCGAATTAGAAGCAGGCAACTCAGAGTTCTGGAACGCTTTGGGTATAGTTACCAGTGATCTAAATCCAAAGGTTGCACAGCATTCTTTTGTTCGAAGTCTCTACTTGAATGAGAGAAGTGCTCAGACATGGACTAATCTAGGATCATTATATTTACAACAGAACGATCACCAGCTTGCCAATGATGCCTTTACAAGAGCTCAATCTACAGATCCGGATTACTCGCATGCTTGGATTGGACAGGGACTTCTTGCTCTCATGTTGGGCGATGTGAAAGAAGCCAATCTCCTTTTTACTCATGCTATGGAGATCTCTGGATCGTCTTCTTTGATCACGCATCGGCAATACTCACAGTCAACTTTTGATCAAGTTCTGGCTGCGAAGAATGTCACCAATGTGGCAGACTTGGTTCAGCCTTTGTTTGCGCTGAACCAAGTGCAATCGATGGCTCCTGATGATCTTGTCTCAAAGCATCTCTCATCACTTTTTGCTGAGCGTGCACACGATATTTCTTCAGCTGTAACAACCTTGACCACAATTTGTGGAGCAGCTGAAGCTGATTACGAAGTTACAGAATCACCAGAATCATTATCTCGATTTGCTTTAGCCAAAGCAGATCTCGCTCGATCTCAATTAGCAAATCAACAGTATGAAGGAGCTGTAGAAAGTGGAGACCTCGCTTTACAACTCTGCGATGAAGATAGCGGCAATGAGCTTTCTGCAGAAGATCGTCAGAAATGTAGACTATCGGCGCATCTTACTGTCGGCCTAGCCCATTACTACCTGAAAAATCTCGATACAGCTCTTGAATATTTTGAGCCCGCTCTCAAAGAATCTAAAGGAAATCCTGATGCAGTATGCGTCCTTGCTAAAGTTTTGTGGGCTCATGGAACCGAATCATCCCGCACCAAAGCACAAGATATTCTCTATGAATGTGTGGAGTCTCATCCCAATCACGTACAATCTGTGTTACTTCTCGGAATTATAGCTCTATTCAATTCAGATACCGAAGGAATCGAAGCAGTAACTGCGGAATTACAAACTCTCCGCACTGATAGAGTTATCACGGGTGCAGAACAAGCACGTGTTGGCGAAGTTCTTCGTTCTATTGCTGCATTTTCCGAAGAGGATTCGCAGATTCAAGTAATGAGCGAGGTCCAGAAAGATGTGATTCTTTATCCAGGTTCAACCCATGGTTGGTCGAGATTGGCAAATACAACTGGCGATGCAAAGGCGGCTGAGATGGCAGTACTGACGGCGAAGAAATCCGTCCCTCCACGTGGAGTCTTGGGTGCTGAGGATTTATCAACTGCGTATGCCGGTACTGGGAAGGTCTGTGACGCTCAGAGGGGTATTATGGTCGCACCGTGGAAGAAGGATGCGTGGGATGCTTTCAGTAATGGTATCTCTGCATAGTGCGCCATGTCTCGAGTCGAGAATAACATGATTAATAACCAATTCAACGTCATCGCAAAAAAGTATATTTCTATGTATGGCATACTATCTCATGTATCAAATACAGTATTCTCTAAGGCGCATCACGAATAGAAACCATTGCTTACGTCTAAAACCAAATATGTGAATTTGTGAGCGCAGATATGATCTGTATTTGATAAAGAGTAGTGCCTTGCAATTGATCCACTTTTAGACCTCATGGACAGAGACTACTCTTTCCTCATGATCACGCAATGTCTGCCTTTTTTGGCTAATAATCTTTACCCTATTCTTAATAGTTAGACCTCTTACCGACCTTGATACCGTCTACCAAATTCCCTCCCAATCCTAATAACTGCAGGATATCTGAACATTCGAAGCACCGAAACCAGTCCAGAAGATCTATTGATTTAGAACCACAAGGTATGGATGAGATCATGCAAGATCTCTGATACCAATTAGCCGAATGTCAATCTCTGGCCTCAATCGTAGGAGTTGTATAAACATATATGAATTTGAATTTCTGAAATCGCTTAGGATCTGATGTGTAAAATTATTTGAAGTCTAGGTAGCAATATCTAAAATGATTTAAAAATTTGAAATTGGATTTTGGAAGCAAATCTGTATTATTAATTCAAACATTGGAGCGAGAGTGCAGTGCTTTGAATCTGAGACCAGAAAGGGATACTAATGCATCTTGCAAATAACGTAGGAGATTGCAAACTTTCATTTGAGTTGTAGAGAAATAGGTGGGTACCTACTTACATCCTTCCTCCAATAGTACCTGCCAGGTTTCGTTATGACCTTGTAAAAAAACATCTCAAAGTTCAAATATGTCACGGTAATACATAGACTCTGATTTGGAATTTTGAAACGAGTTTCTCGAATTACTCAATTATTCCTATTCGAAACTCCATCTCTAGAAAAAATCGTGTCTAAACCTCTTGAAGAATCTAGTGTACAGCTAGTGTTCATCATACTTGAAATGAGAACACCCTCATGAAACCTCCCTGTGTCTAGGCCTGTAGATAAAAAAAGCAGCAGCACCCACGATCACCGAGCTCATGATGACAAGCATAGCCATTAACCACGGAAGGGGCATCGGAACAAGGTGGACAGCATCTTGATCAGCATCCGCAATTGTAGAATTACCCGTTTCATTTCCATGTGCCGCGGCGTAAGCGGTAGCCCATGCTTTGTAGTTATCTGTTGTGATGGTAGTCAACGCACTATCCCCATCCACCGTCGTGATGGTAGTAGTTCCAAAGACGCTCTTCAGATCGACTTCTAGTGCGACGGTGTATTTAGACATTTGGACTGAATTGTAGGAACTGAAGTAGTTATTGGCTGATTCCCAGGAAGCTGAAAGCGCAGAATAGGAGGGATCTGGAAGGCCGTTCGAGAGCGTCGAGGTGGGAGCATTACCTGGGCCATCGAGACTTGGTGTTGGAAGAGGTGGCTCTTGACGATATACGAAAACTGCAGCTTTTGAGCTTGTGGTAGGTGAGAAAACCAGATCTTGTGTGGTGGGTCCAGATTCAGTGTGTGAGGTTGCGAGAGATGAGAGAGCTGCAGGTGGTTTTGTGTCACCAAAGATCAGCGAAGAATATTCGCAGATTACTTGATTGTCGGAGACGAAAACCGTGGGAGTGGAAAAGTAATGTTGGAAGTCCGTATTATTGGTAGGTCCGTGAACTGTTAGTTCGTGGATTCATTTAATGAGTGAGTACTACCGCCCATGGAGTGGGTGAACAAATTGAATGAGAGAAAAGGTTAAGGACATACTTAAGACACCAATCACTTCTAGTGGTGTCGGCTTGTATAGTGATTTGGTCCCATTGAACTGGCCCAAAGTCCCACTTACTTCCTCCTTGTGTTTCGATTGCGAAAAGTGCCTAAAGATAGTTAGTTTACATCAGAAGATCATGAAGGAGGATCAAAGGCAATCCGAGCTGCTTGCCTTATTAAATGGGCCTTGGCCACCAGGGGTTGCTGTTGATTATCCTCGTTAGCATATTCTACTTCTGGGCCATGGGCTCTGCATAGCGAATGAAAGTGCGCCGAATGACTTACGATGCTCTTGAGGATTGAAAAGAGATTCTGCAGTAAAGGACATCTCGGCAGCTTGAATACCGGAGTAACCCCTCTCAACCTTCCATGTAACATTATATACTCCAGTACTTGCACTCATCAATTGGTACTTTGTAGTGATACGATCTCCTGGATATACTGTATATGTATCAGCTCCACTGCCTGCGTATAAATATTGCGATATGCATTGAGCTTACCCTGCTGAGCTTTATCAGCTTGCCAGTCTTCAGGTCTGCATGTTTTATACAAGTCAGCTTTGTCACTTCAACTATTTTCCACCAATCTCGGATAACAATGAAGATTGAATTGTGAAGAAAGATGTAACATATACATACGTGCAACAAAATTCTAATCCAATGTAAAACCACTCTCCGATGCTTCCTTGGTTTGCAACCACGGTTTGAATAATACCTTTATTGTTTTGAAGCGCAGGCCATATAGCTTGAACATTGCCTGGGATGACTAGTGCGTTGGAGGAGGAGGGAACCACTTGAATACTTTGGAACTTCGACTTGTCAGCTTGCTATCAAACAAGTAGTTTAGTAGATTGAAAGTGATCATCTTACAGTTGTTATTGTTGCATTTGGATCAAGAGTAAGATAAAAGAAATTTGCGTTGATATCAGTTGAAGTTGTAGAAGCTGCAAGTCCACTTAAGAGTCCCCAGACCAGTATGAAAATTAACATAATCATGGTCTGAAATTGAGCCAATGACTCTCGAAAAACGACAAACATAATAAGAGATTCAATTAAACAAAGCTTAGAGGAGCAGTTTCGTTATTATTGGGGTTTATTAGAGATTGAATAGTGTTTATTTGTTGAGTTGAATTTGATGGAAAGAGAAGGAAACGACAAAATAATTGCAAGAATGACAGTAAAAAGTTTGATACAATGTAAATTCAAGTAAAATAGAGAAAGCTGAGATGTGTGAAATATATGACTGGATAACTGCTAGGTAAACACCGGAGAAAGATAGTTCCGAAATGGCCAGACGAAGTTATTCACTGCTCGAGCAAGGATGTTTGATAGATATGACTTTCTTTATGGACAATTCTACACTAACCTTGGAAGCAAAAACCACAGGGTTCTAGGAGCAAACCAAAATCATCAATCATTAAGTCTCCTCCCTGTGAAAATCATGGTTCTCCATACATGGAAGGCTGAGCCCTTGGAACTCCTTCTCACAATAAGCTACAGGAACTGTAGATCCTTCTTACGAAAATATAAATGCACAATCTGGTGGATTCTGCCACAAAGAGATGCTTTTGAATGGTTGTTCCTGGAGAGGACAGTATGCATCTATGTTCTCATGGTAGAATTATACAATAGGTTTGAGACCATATAGAATGAGAGCACAGAGGTCTGGACTCTGCTGCATTGTGAAACAAAGGACTCAAATTCATTTTGCTAAGATGAAAAGAACCTCTCCTAAAATCAACAAATAACAAAGGCTTTTCCCCAAAAGAATGAACGTGAATCGTGACAAGGTGGAAGAACCAGAGCACCACTCTGACTTCTCTTAAGGAAAAGTTTGCATGGACACTATTCATGATGCTCTTGTAGTCCTTATCACTCATCATAGCCTGTCAATATCATCATTGGATTATAGCATCACTTAATACACAACCTTTGTGATATTGAGAATGAAAACTTTTGCTTCAACATCTCCAGGGTCAAAAAGTCATACTCATGACGTACTTGAAGTTTGCAGATTGATCTCTTCCAAATCAAATGTAACATGACAAGAAATTTTTCACTCACACCAGGAGATTTTTGCGTGGGAAGTGCCTTTGCATTTGCAAAGAAATACTTCGAGTTAGATATTGTGTCAAATCCGTGAGTTTCTGATTTGAACTTGCATACCTCCCAGTAAGAAAAAGTATACACAGCTTACGACAACCTCCACAGCGTTTGATGCCTCTCGAAACTAGATATTAGTAACCTAACTATTAGAATTCCTTTCTTGCGGTTGTCAATTGCAATGTAACATCTAGAGTGCATTTGAGGTGGAATTAAGGTTCATCGGCGTCGGCCATCTCGCTTCCTGGTTCGGCCGATTTTACATGGTTACTCTTGCCGAAATGCAACAGCATCCTGACATGCAGATTGATACAGTACCCAGGTATCGACTTGAAGTTAGGTATTAACTCATCAATACTTCCATAAACCTTTGGACTTTTCATTAAATTATATTTCTTTTATACCGTCTACCTCAAGAATATTACTTCTTCTAATGTAGTCACACTTTTGAGATCTTCTTACATGACAACTGCTCAGCTTTACAATAAGATCAAGGAATCAAAAGGAGATCCACACAGGTGTAGCTTCATCACCAGACTCTACAAAAATAGTTTTCTATGATATTGTGTTTGAAATGCGCTCTCGTACTATCGAATTCCAATCGCTTTCCACACGGTCATTGCTGAATGGGATGTAGAAAATGAAAAACGAATATCTGTGGTAGAACCACTACCTCCTTCATAACTTACCGAGTCGAGATATACACTTGTTCGTGCTCTACCTACTCATACTCGTGTTTGTATTGTGCTCGTTTAAATTGACAGATTGAACGACCGCCTTTACCCTGGCATATCTAATTCAAGAATGCTAAAGGTCTCGGCATACCCCACATATCACAAGGTCAAAACCTCCACGCGCCCTGATGTGTACGACAATACCAATCAATAATGGACAAGATATCTTGCAAACCCTGGTACTTCTTGGAAAACGTATTTTCCATTCTCGAACGTGTTATCTGCCAGACCCAGTATCAGTGGCAATGCTGTATCCAGTCTTCGCTTAGTCTTGTAACCGTAAGATCATATTGCTAGGTAATACCAACATCTGGCTGATTGAAACCTGCAATCTCACATTCCTTGAACATCTTCATGGTACCCTCGCTCTTGTAGGGCTGCAGTGCTAGCAGTGCCGGAATTTCTGCTTTTAGATAATTCCGTAGGGCATCCGCAAATCCGTCGATCAACGAGCGTACTTGGTGGCGCTGAATTTGGAAGGCGAGGTCTTCTCTGAATAATCAACAAGTTCGTGAAGTCCAGGTTCGAAAATTGCATGTTGCGCAAAGTTGGCGCTCTTGCAGCCGGGGCTATTGGTAAAACTGTCAAGCTGAGGGTGCATGAGCTCTTCCTCGACGTCGTGGTGATGCTTCACAAAAGAGCACCAGGCTTTGACGAAGGATAAGAAATCTTTAACATCTTCTGTCGCTTTCACGTGGGGCGCTTGCAAATAGACACAATCGATGCCTCTGATCATAAAATTATGTAAATCGGCATTTCGTTTGCGCAGTGGATTGCGGCATGCTTTTTCTATTGACATCAATAGTCAATCGACTTTCCATTTCAAGAGTGTGGATAGCTACTCTGTATCTTGTTCCCTGGTGTCTCCAAGAGTTCCCAGAGGCCATCTGCTCATGAATTTTGGGTAGACATCATCTCATCGAGTTGGTTTTTGAGAAGAGAGGTTAGAAATGATAATCGACGCAGGACATAGCCCCTTGAATGGACATGATTGCTTATCAGCAACAAACGAATTGGATCACCAAGAGGTAGACCATGGATGTACCGATTGCTGACTAGTAGCATGCGAGTATACGGCAAGGTGCGTTTGTAGGCTTCAAAAAGATAATGATCACATGCATGTTTATCATAGAGAATTCTGTTACACAAGCGTTACAAGAAGACATGAAATTATATTCATTACAATTCGGTTAGTTCAAAATTTGAAGGAATACCCCTAAAGCTCAGAAATACAAGACCGCTCCAAGTAGATTAAAGATTATCAACTTTAAGCCACTAGAGACGCCCTTCTAGAAATTCGCTCCGCATCCAGTTTCTTACTTGCTGCCCTCAATTTTATCACGCTTTCCCCACCACAACCTCTGAAAATGTAGTACTCGTGGAGAGAAAATAATGCATGGATAGGATATCTCTGACTATATATGTAACTGCTTATCTCGAAATGCAAAGCAACTAAAACACCATGCAAATTCTCACTCCTCGTTTAAAGAAGAAGGAATTCGATGCCATATAAGATCTTGGATAAGAAAATTCACACGAAACAGGATACTTACTATTCTACAGAGCTAAAATTTTAAACGTATTCCGAGTAGAATAATCCAAAACTATAGATGTCATCATCAGAAATAAACAAGTTGCTAAAAATGTACATACACGAAAGCGTATCAAAATCAGCTGATTATAATTCTTGGTATTGTTTTTTATACTAACACCAGCTCGCCCCGAAAACCAAAGGGCAAAATCAAGAACCAAATTTAGTTCTAGCAACTCTGAGATATATCATGGGAAGCTGCAAGGTTTGATTTTAGGAATATTTTCGCCCGCGTATTCATGAGGCTCACTCACGGGCTATTGAGGAAACTTCATTTTCACATTATCCGCGATTCCTTACACATCGCATTCTTTATCAACCAAAAAGCTAAGAGGTTTGCAAAAGGAAGCCGAGTGTCAAATTTATTATTTTCATTAGTTCCTACTCCAATACCCCTCCTGAACTTCATAATACATGAGTACTATCATGTCTATCAATATATGAAATCCTGTCCCCATCTCCTGGCACCTCTAGATACAATTCTACTAAAATCATAAATCCTCGCTTATTCTTCAATTCCTTCAACTAATCATCACTGTGTATCGTTCATATGCATCTCACCTCGACACACAATCAGACTACAGATTAATCTCTATCCATCTCATCTCATTCTACATTCCAATTAAAACAATCTATCACTCAATACAATATCTGCAATCCTTCCATGTCATACAATCGAATATCTACTACTGAAATTATATTCTAGCGATGATACCTTCCCACGCTTTATCGAGTATTTGAATCCTCAATATCTCGATATCGAAAGTCATATAGTCACATCATCACCCGGTTTGATTCAATAGAACGTGTATTATTTCTTCATACCCGGGATATTATATATATATATATATAAAAGAATCTTATCATGAAAAAATAATTTATATATCTTACATTCGTATACTTTTTTACTACTTTTAAATACGAATCGTCGTTGAGATATAACCTTATAGAGAAATCCTAATAAAATTAAAATTACAAGTGAGGATAACGTAAAAAGAGTACCTAGTATTATACTATTTATAAGTATCAATTCTCATTTCATTTCATAGTAATAAAATACAATATACTTGTTTCAATCGCATGTATGAATATCTACAATCGATATCTCATTCTCATAGCTCCTATTATATTATAGTATTAAATCCTTCCTATTCTCATCTATTTCCTTATTTCCTTTTCCCCTCTTTTTATATATATTCTATTCTCTCTTTATTACAACCTACTTTCTAATCGCTAAATACAAACTACCTACTATTTTATATTTCTCAAATAAATATATATTTTCATACTAATACTATAAAAATCCACTATAATATTATTACCTATATCTATCTTTAGATAACTATCTATATATAAATACTCTTCCCTTTATTTACTAATCTTATTTCAAGAATTAGAAATCTTGATATTTTTCTTATACTCTATTATTACTTCTTCTCTTTTCCCTCTCTTTTAATTCTATTCTATTCACTAATTAAATATAAACACTCCCTTCTCCTCCCTTAAAATTCAAATTCAAAATTCAAAACTCCTCTTTTCCTCTCCTTATCATCTAACTAAACTCATCAAACTGTATAAATAAATCCTTACTTTAAAAATCTCATCTCTCACCTTTCACCTCTCACCTCTCACCTCTCACCTTTCATCTCTCACCTCTTACCTTTTACCTCTCATCTCTCACCTCTCATCTCTCACCTCTTACCTCTCACCTCTCACCTCTCAACTTCAAGCTTCAAGCCTCAAACCTCAAATCTCAAAAATCCCAAATCTCAAATCCCAAATACCTCTTTATAACTAATTCATTTAATAATTAATTCAATTACTATAACTCATATATTTATATTTATATTTATACTCATACCCACATCTATATTCATAATCTTAACCTCAACCTCAATCTTAATCTTAATCTTAATCTTAATCTCAATCTCAATCTCAACCTCAACCTCAACCTTAACCTCAACCTCAATCATATCTTATCTCTATTTATAAAAAACTCAAATTTAATATAAATATACAAACATATATACAAATATATATCTCATTTCATATATATAAACTAATAAACTAATAAACTAATAAACTAATAAACTAATAAACTAATAAACTAATAAACTAATAAACTAATAAACTAATAAACTAATAAATCAATAAATCATAAACTAATAACTCATTATCTAACTATCTAACTATCTAACTATCTAACTATCTAACTATCTACCCCTCCTCTCCCTCCTCTCCCTCCTCTCCCTCCTCTCCCTCCTCAATATCGCCACTCTAGTCTAGTCTAGTCTAATCGCTAGTCTAATCGCTAGTCATTATAGTATGTTCTATAATCACTAATCACTAGTCACTAATCACTAGTCACTATAATAATCAGCATCTAACTTAACTTACCTACCTATAAATACCTACCTACCTACCTACCTACTCCTACCTACAACCAGTAGGTAGGTAATTATTATTACCTACTCTATTACCTGGTAATAACTTCTCAAGCACAAAATCAGACAGACAGAGTAAACTTCATTCATGTAAACACAAGCACAAGCACAAGCAAAATATATTCAAATCCATTCATTCATTCATCTAGATTTCATTTCATTCAACTCATATCAATCGCCTTCATCTTGATCTTCATCTTAATCTTTATATCTTCATCTTGTTCTTTTTCATTTCATTTCATTACTTCAACTACACTCTCCTTTTTCTTTTCCCTTGCCATTCCTTCGTGAGAAAAGAGAATCACTCCCTTCCCTCGATCTCCTTTCCATCTCATCTTTATACATCACACCCTAAAGTCATTCCAAATCCAAAAGTGTGTGATGATCCCATCAATTCGATTCGATCCAATCCGAATCGTGTCTATAACGACAGATGTAAGCCCAAACCAAAATTAGGTTATGCTATGTTATGGTAAACCATTTAGGAAATCCATCTATAATCCCTTATCCCACGCTCATTACATCCATCCATGACATTAAAATCCCCCATTTCCTCATCTTATCACCACCACCAACAAAACAACTGAAGTAATAAAGAATAATCTCAGAATCTATATTCAGCGAGAGACTTTAAAAAGTAATTCTCATTAAAAAAATGAAGAGAATATACATGTATAGCGAGCCCAGCACAAACTTTTCTCTATAAAAACACCCCCTAAGAGAAGAGGTAAAAGCGGCGGTAACTCTAGCGATAGTTGGACGGTTTATTCACACAAAGTGGGCGAATAAGAAAAAAAAGTGCCCATGTTCATAATCAACCATGATAGGTGTATTATGAACAGTAAGAAATGAAGTTGAAATCGAAATGTTTTAGCCAGAAATCGCTTGCCATGTCGAAATGACGCAGCAGATCGGCATGGTTCAGTTGATTCCGGCAGTATTATCATTAGTATATACTGTAAGGAACTCGTGTATCCAAATCTTCGAATTGAATGGTCCCGAAAATAGTTAAAAGAGGTATATGTACAAATGTTCGAACTGTCCAGTAATCCAGGGAATGTCGGAAATCGGAAGTCGAATTAGGATAGAAGTCGCTCATGTGGAAACGCCGTAACATGATAATGCCGTTAAATCATGATGAGAATTTCTATCAACTTGGAAAGTTAAGAGAAATTACTCTTGTCGAGTGCAATATTATTGCAGATGTGAAAAAATCACCTAACAACGACCTCACTAAGCTCACTATCCGAAGCTTGAGATGCTAGGGTATCACCTTCCCATGCTGATCCGTTTTCATCAGTTGGGCTTCTTGATCCAGAAGAAAATGAAGAGGATGATCCCATGGTCCACTCGTCACTGCTATCATGACGGAAATCTTGCTCGAGAACTGCAAGTCCGTATTCGTAAATGCCGGCAGGTGCATCACCTCTCTCAACATAGTCATAATCCCAACGGAACATCTTGTCTGATTGGATTCTTGGCAAGAAGTTTGTCTTGGAGATGTAGAAAGCAATGGCGGCAAGGAAGCCTCCGGCTACGAGATCAACGGCATAATGGTGAGATAGATACATGGTTGCCCACCACATCCACATGGCGTATCCAATAACGAATGGTCTGAGTTTTGGGAAGCAATGGCTCATGAAAAGTGCTTCCAATACTGCATTACCCGAATGCAATGATGGGAAGGCTCCAAACACTAAAGGTGATGCGGTAAAGTTCGTAGTGTACATGTCAAAACCGAACAGTAAATCGATTCGCGCGAGACCTGCAGGTGATCCTTCCATGGAATAGTTGGCAGGCGCAAGACCATACAAATTCTCATACCATGGAGGCGAACAAGGAAAGATCAATTGAATGGCAACCCCAATAATGTTCAGATAACCGAAGGTTCGTGCGAATACTGGTACGGTACCGGGAGGACCGAAAAGAAACATCAAGGCGGCCCAAACAAACGGTCCTCCAAAGTGTAGAATTCCGTAGGGTAACCATGCTAGGACATCAAGAACGACATATTGGTGTGCCGAGAGAATGTTGCTAATATTTGCGCCATAAAAGATGTTTTCGAGGGCAGGTAGAACTTTAACCCAGATATGTGGTCGATATTCGGCAGGAATAAATCTATGAAATCTGTTAGAAACAAAGCGGTCTGGCGTGTATTTGATGTTGGAGAGGAGTTTCAGAGTAGTTCAAAGAGAGCGACAAAATGAATCGCAATGTGAATTGAAGGGTACACATACCGAGCATTGAAAAAGAAAACCAACCAGGTGAAGATTGGGAGAACTGGTAAGAAGAATTGTCTTGTTACTGGCATGAGAAGTGCAAGCATTAAGAGAGTAGCAGCTCCAGTCTTCATGAGAGGCCCAGGAGCTTGACTGATTGAAAGCGAGAAGATTGCGATAATGATCAAGATCAAATATTGACCATCGTACACCGACCATCTATGTGACCTGAGAGCTCGTAATGTATCCTTTGGATTGAAAGACGTCTCAATTGAAGCTATCGATGAAGCCGGAGGTAAATTTGAACGAAACTTGGACCTCAGCCTCCTTCTCATTCTACGAGGTATAGGATTTGGTATCGACGGCCATGAGAACGGCATCTTGGATTTTGTAAATGTTGGCGACGTTGTCGACGAGTAATAATTTGTTTCCGGCATGGCAAATTATGAGGGAGGTAAAGTTATCAAAGGAATGATCAAGTAGAGGTCGAAGATGATGTTGAAGCCGTTGAGACTTTTTTTTTGTTCACACGGTGAGGGTGAGAGTGAGAGTGAGAGTGAGGCGTTTCTACGGGATCGGCGGATACGCGCAAAGGAAGATGGCGGAGTTTAAGAGGAAGGATGCTGATTTATAATTGACGAAATGTAAGATTATCTCATGAATGATGGATAATGTTTGTTTGTTGATTTGTTTGTATGTGTTTTATTGTGTGTGTGTGTGTGAGAGAGAGAGAGAGAGAGAGAGAGAAGATGTGATTATCTAATTTTATCGAATCATAAAATTAAAATTGACGTTGTCGTTGTAGTGAAACCCAAAAGTATAAAAGACTTTGGAAGGGAAGGAAGGTCAGATAGGACAGGACAGAGGAGAGGTGGAGGGAGGAGTGTGATGTATAAGAGAAGACTGATTATCACAAGATTGATGAGGAAAGAGGGAAGAGGGAAGAGGGAAGAGGCGGATGTATGATGGAAGTGATGGAAGTGATGGAAGCAACCAAAAATAAGAAAATCGGGTTTAGGAGGATATGGCGCGGGACTAGTCAAGTAGTCCGAAGGTACCAAGTACCAAGTACCAAGTACCAAGTAATGAAAAGAAGGTCTTTTTTGGATCTTTTGGATCTTTTGGATCTTTTGGATCTTTTGGATCTTTTGGATCTTTTGGATCTTTTGGGTTGTTAGTCTTCTTCTTCTTCTTTTAGTCCCTGGTCCTTTTTAAGTTTCCTTTCCTTTGCTTTCCTTTTCTTCTCTTCTCTCCTCCTTCCCTTGCCCTTTCCCTTATTTTCCCTCCCTTCTTCCCTTTGACTAAACTGGGGCCGGGATCTCGTCTGGGTTTCGCGCACCAGGTCTTTTTTTAATTATGACTGGGTTCATCACTTATGTCAGCTAAGCTCCGGGGCCATGGCCCATGGGCAATGTAAAAAAGTGAGAGAAGAAAGAAAAAAGACTGCAGGTGGATCTTGGCAAGGGAATGAGAGTGTATGAGTGATCTTGGCACATCGATTCATAGCAACAAAATATATGATCAAATCCTGGGACTAGGTACACTCACACGGAGTACGGAAGTGTAAACAAGGTTCTACTGGTATTTTTTGCAGTTGATTTCATTATTGATTGATTTGTTTATTGATTTTAATCTCAATGGTTTCCATGTGAATTTGTAATGAATATATGATTGTTTGTTGAGTCTTTCTTGTAAATTGGTCATCATGTCAGAAGTTCTAGTTGCAAAAGATTAATAACGAAAACGGTCGGAAGAAAGGTAAAACAATATCAAGAGGTGAGGTGAGGTGAGGTGAGGGCTGTTTGAAGTGAGTCTTGCATATCTCGAGAGGTAGTCAGGATTTGAAAGTACTGGTCAAGAAAAAAATCTAATCTAGCTACGCGCTTCAATCCTCAACAGGCGGGTAGACCTGTATGTAAGTAATAAATTGTTGCGTACATCGTATATCGTACATACCTAATATGGACATACACCCATCCATCCAACCTCCAATCTATTGCTCCGTTCAGTAACCCAAAGAATACCAATGCGAGCTATCCGAATCCGACTACGACTAATCATCGCCGCCACACGAGATTTCCAAGGTTGCCCGCGGGCAATGGAACGGGAAAACTTGAAAGGAACATACTTTCTACTTACAAATGCGGCGGGAGACGATACAAAATGATGTCAAACAGGGTACTGCTGATGTATATGAATTTGAATGAATGGATTATAAAATGTTTAAGCTGTGAGATTACCCGTGAAGAGAGTTTCGAACAAAGAGAAAGAGAAAGAGCTGCTTGCTATATCTACTAGGTCCTACGGTAAGTACGAGTACGACGGAACTCAAAAGGGTCATTTCGAAATTCATACGATAGGTAGCTACGATAGAATCTATATGATTGTTATTTATATTGTTATTTATATCAAACTGAGATACTATCAAAGACATCGACTGTTTGATAAAGATTATCAACTCTTCACAGCCATGCGGATACCACCGTATACCACTGTATAGCATATCAAATAAGATACTTTTCCCAAAGTCCCATGCTTCACCATGATGATAAGCTCCATCTTTAGCCCAATCTCCATCCATCCCCATCCATCCCCATCCACCCTCTCGAGCCTCTAATTGCCTGCACAATTTTATGCAGTGGAATCGCCAGACCCGGAAAGAAAAAGAAAAATGGCGGAGGATGACATGATTGGATGAAATCCCATGTCTCGTTCATCAACTTTCGCACATCAAAATTTAAAGCCCCTTGTCGTGAGAAACAAAGACCGCTTTTCCGAACATGCCGTCTGCGTCTGTCATTGGCTGCATTGGACTTCATAGTCCTCTTATTAAGGCTTCCTCGCAAAGATTCTTCACTTAAAGGAAATGAGGATGGGATGGTGAAGGATGAGTGCCAGTGGTGATACCGCAGTAGGAGTAGGAGTCGCAGTAGCAGTAGCAGTACATATCTAAGTATTGATTCAAATTCAATATCGAAATTACGGCCTCGCACATCTTTCAAGGGAAGGGGAGAGATGCGTGGTATATCATGTTGCAAATGATTAGGTATCAATCAAAGTACGGGATACATATGTATGTACAGATTACAGATTGTGGGTTCGATGCCCCTGATGAGACGGAAACATCCAACCTTCACGGAGTACTCAACAATTCCTCTTGCAGTCTGTGAAACCCTCAAATGATATCCCTCGGGCGCATGCGGAGGAACTCCAGGTTTTGAACTCGCAGCTCCAACAGTTCGCATCAAGGACGTCTTCAATTCATCTCAACTCATCTCCTTTCATGCCCTTGGAGACGTCGTCGCGTTGTTTTACGAAAGAAAGTTTCACATGGATGCTCCAAGTGTCGCTTACAAGCTTTTCTCAGCCACTCACCAGTGACCACAAAACTTTTGATGTTATAGGATTCCCATGGCCACCTGCACCTGGGCATGTACGGAATCAACCTCCTTCCACATTAACTGCGGGGTTCCAACTTCCCAATGGGTATACTTTTTATGCTGTGCTGCTGCGCCAGTGTTGCCCGTGTTGCCCGTGTTTTCAGTTGATGACTGCCTGGGTCAACGTCCACCATTTCCATGGATTCTCTCCCACCAAGCATTGCCCAGCCACCCACGGAAGCGCGTACCAAAATTCCCATGATGAGGATCATCTCAGCACAAATCGTCATGTTTCACTATTTTTTAATTGCTCATGAGTCGTTATCGATATCAAAGCTCAATACGCCTCGCTATCTCAGTATCGTATCGCGCCCCAAGTCTGGCATGGCAAGGCAAGTCAAGATAATTAAGCGCAATGAGACATCTTGAGTCTTGACAAGAACAATACTGGTGTACCGTATGTACCGTAATTGATATGATGATGCCGATAACTTCCAACAGTGCAGTGCCTCTTTCATCAGTGGGCGCAGCGCAATCAACAAGCTACACCTTTCTTGGTATATAAATACGCCTTGCCGTGCTTGTCGAGCTTGTCGTCTAATAGCCTCAAAGTTACTGTACAATGACTGTAAGCTCCGGAAACTTCGGTAGATGTCGAATCCAATCAATTCCATCATTCACACATCGCACCCGCACCCAAACGTTTCCTGATGCGGTGCCACCTCGAATTGCATAAATCCCACTCGGAACGGAGAATCAGCGATAATCCGAACGAACTACGGTAAGGTAACTCACTGCCTTATCGATCTATCAAATCTTCATTTCCTTATCTCGAATGTATACCGGTATCGTGATATCTCATCCCGATACTAGGTAGTCTGTTCTGTATATGTACCTACGCACAACCTCACGCGACCACTTCGCACATCGAACTACTGTACAAGCTCCAAAGCCGAGCGAGTAACCTTCATCGCCGTTCTCCCAAACACTAATCAACACATGTGACATATCACAACTTCACAAGAAGCAGCCCAAGCCGACCGACCAGGTATCTATTTCTCTCGTGTCAGACCGATACTCCGGAACTTCTCGATCGAGAAACGCACGATGGATCCCTAGATATTTTCATCAAATTATGGAGTCTTTCCTTTCCTCTAGTCCCTCTACCCAGACATCTTGCGAAAAATCGGAGTCACTCCACCCAGTTCCACCGACTATCGAAAGAGCTTCGATGCGTCTATCCACCTATCGGCACCAACTCATCATCACGGATTTACCTCCGTACTCCGTCCTTGCGTCGCGAATCGAATCG